CTCCACAGTATGCATTACCTACCGTTTTAACATTTCTCATCCTACTGCCCTGCAGCATGCCAAAAGATGCAGTTCTAAGTGTGTCGAAGTCGACGGACGGCGCCTCCAGCATGACCCCATCCCCTAATCCATCAACCTGCAGAGAAGATATTTCCCGAAAACATGGAGCCAATATTACACTTGTCAGCTCTCCCAAAAAAAAAAAAAAAAAAGCGTTCTTTTCAACCCAGCCTATGTCGCTCAATGGTGGTACACTCATGCAACTATCAGTAAACAGATCATGGGTTCAAATCTTGACAGAATCAGATAAACACAGTAGTAAAAAGGGCTACCCACTCTGCAAAAAAAAGAAGAAAGCAGCTGAGCCTCTTATTCTGGCTGATAGAAACTTAAGAAATACAGCGTCTGTTCTTGTTTTTATTTTTCAAAGCATATTATAATGTTATTATTATTTTATTATTATTATTATTATTATTATTTATTTTATTATTATTATTATTATTGCTATTATTTTTATTTATTTATTTATTTGTTTATTTATTTATTTCTAAAGGGCAACGGCCTTGTAATATCATCATTGAGCTGACCGGCCCCAGGCAATTCAGAGATATTTGGTTTTACATTACTTTTACTCATCGAGTTTCATTATCTGGATTCGAACTCAGGTATCTATTTCAAGTTTCAAGTTTCACCCCCAAGACCGCCACCAGGTAGAGAAGATCCAGTAACCAGATGCACGTCTGCATTCATTCATATTTTATTATTTTCAGAGACATGGATTAAAAAAAAAAAAAAAAAAAAGTCACGTTTCTATTAATTTCCATAAAAACTGAAATAAGTCAGGGAAAATGTATGAAAAAGTACGGTAAGGTCTTGTGAGGAATAGCAATACAAACAACGTTTGGCTGAGTGTAAGGTCACAGTCCAAAAATTCGCTCACACCCAGCGCATATGGCTGAGCGATACACACATTTTAACTGGTAATAAACAGATCAGATCACGAGTTCGAGTCCTGCCGGAGTCAAATCCGGCAAATATAATAATGTTAGGGGCTACTACCGTCTTCAAAAAAAAAAAAAAAAAAAAAAAAAAAAAAAAAAAAAAA